TATGTGTCTAAAAGAAATACGTCCAACCCTTGTCCCTGCTGTGGCTATCATAAACAAGTAATTCTTTTAATAGCGGCTATCCCCTTGCCTTTCTTATCCACACTTTCTGTTTATTCATGTTACTTTTAAGTTTTTCTTAATCCCTACTTACACTACCGTGAGTCGATAGCACAGTGGTTAGGATGATCACCGACCATGCACATCGTCCAGGGTTCGATTCCCTGCCGAAGCACCCCTTTACCTCGGTAAGCCAGTAATACGAGTGGTAAAGAGGAAAGGCTGGGTATGAGGCTAGCAACGCCATCCTGTAAAAATAAACACTGCTGCAGAAACTTCAAGCCTCTAGCTTGAAGCCCTATGTTCCGCTGGGAACGTGAAGGAATAAAAAATTTACACTACCATATTTTCATATCCGAACTTCCTGTCTTTTTTGTCATTTTATTATTTCTACATATTTAATCCCTAATTGCATGAACAATTATTCATCACATTAGTTATAATCCTACTAGATTTTTTATCCCAACATCCTGTCTATTTTGTTATTTCTACATTTCTAGCCCCTAATTGCACAATATGTCAATCTTCTCAATAATTATGATGCTAATTTATTTGAGTTTTATCCATCCACCCTGTTTATTATGGCACTTTATTTCCTAATTGTAATTTTAATAATTTGACCCTTGACCGGAAATTATTCTGGAACTTTCCCATCCATTTATTATAAATACACAAATATACAGCCTAGTTGATGACTTTGTCGAAAAGAAAATTTTCTTCGCTGCAATTGTCTTTTTATTAAAATACCAAAAATTGGGGAACACTGAATATGAGTTCAAGCAAGGGCTTCCTTCCTGTTTATTCATATATCTGACACATATCAAGTGTAGTGATAAAATAAAGAGGTTAAATTGTCTACTGTAATAAAATATCAGAGACTTAATAAGCTTAGTGTAAATTGCAAAATGTTGACATATAATAAAGGTTATAATGGAGTAAAGTGAACTAGGTGAAAATGAATAAGAAAGGCATAATATGACATGAAAATGTGAATGATTATGTCCCTGCTGACCTCATAGTAGGCCAGGGTAAACAAAGAGGATGAATGTACTACTTTTCCACACATAGGACAGATTTTTTCTTATTAATCCCTATGACACTATTTATTGACTTGGTTACCCTTTTCCAAGCCAAACAGGAACATATCTAAGAATTGCGTAAAGATAAATTCCTCTGAGTTCGACCTATATAACTAGCTTCACATGACCAGTTGAATCTCCATACACGCATTGATGTGGCCACCTTTAGTAATTTATCTTTGGTGCAATGTGTCTGGTTAAAAAGCTGATGTATAGTTCTGCAGCACTGAAAATTCTTTCAACTGATCTGATTAACCTTTCAGTTTTCTTATTCATTTTCACCCAGTTTACTTGACTCCATTATTATATTTATTATGTGTCAACCTTTTGTAATTTACAGTAAGCTTATTAAGTCTCCAGTATTTCATTACCGTTCACAATTTAACCTCTTTATATTATCACTACACTTGATATTTGTCAGCCCTTGTGCTTGAACTTATATGCGGTGTTCCTTAATTTTTGGTATTTGTTTGTATGTATTTTGTGGTAATCATTTTCCTGTCACACCATTGAATATAACTCACTCACACTCCACCCCACCCCAATGAAACTTATATTCTGTTGACTATAATTACATTTTAGTATGTCACCCTTTTGTCTATTCACACTTGACCGTATGTTCTGAATTACTGCACATTGTTTTTATATGCGTTCATCTGACAATATTGAATACCGAACTATCACTCCATATTAAATATGTACCCCAATACAGACAGTTTCCGATATAATTTTCATAAGCCGTTAATGGCTGTTTGAATTCTAATAATATTTATGGCTTTATAACTGTAGAGTCTGAGGAAGACCTAGTTTATTAAATGCAAGGGTTTATGTGACGTAACAACCACTAAGATCCAGCTCAAGAGTAACGGCTTTTTTCTCTTTCTTTCTCTCCCAATATCAAACAGTTTTTAGAGGTAAGCAACAAGTTATTACATAGTCGATAATTTGACAAATAATGATGATAAGGAGTAATAGACAATTCAGTTACGTATGGATGTCAATGATACAAATAAGTCAGCTAATTTAGTTAGAGTAGTAGTCATAATAAAATGACAAAATAAGATAACAATGTCAAATGATATTTACAAAGGTAGAGGAAATATCATTTGTAAGACTCTAAACATATTATGTGAACGACCACAGTAGAGCAAAAAAGACTGCACGAATTTCTTTTGAACACAGAGTTCATATTAATATATGTGTAAAACTTGGGCACTCTGGTAGTAATTCCATATTAGTTTGTTTATTAAATGTATCACACAGTGAAACAGTATTATTATTTACTGGATGACGTTTCGAACTAAATTTATTACCGTTCATAATCATATCAATTGTAAACACACGACATTGAAACTTGAGTTTTATGGTTTTCTTTGTCTTCTCCTATTTGTCGTGTGGGTAGTACAATTTTCCAGATATCAGGGACAGGTGAAGAATCATTCTTATTACATTCCTAGGCTGACTGTCCCTGTTCTACTAGTTTGACCTATGCATTTGACCTGACAATCATCGCAGACAGGCTATTAGATAAACTAAATGACAGAGCACGAAAACTAAGCAGTACCAAGGGAAATCTAAGACAAGAAGTGATACACATAAAAGAAGTCTTAAAACTTAATAATTACCCGGATAAATTAGTCAAGAAATATGTAAGTAAATGTAAAAATAAAATAAATAATGATAATAGCGATAGTGATAATAATAATATTAATAACGATGCCAATAATAAGGAATCTAAACCATCAGTAGTAATTCCATACAAGGAAGGAACCTCGGAAACCTTACGCAGAATTCTTAACAAGGCAGGAATAAAAGTGGCTGGCATTCAAACCACCACAAATTCAATTAGAAACAAGCTTTGTCAATTAAAGGATCCTGTGGAGCCAATTAAACAAAACAATTTAGTTTATCTAATACCCTACCTGTAATGATTGTCAGGTCAAATACATAGGTCAAACTAGTAGAACAGTGGCAGTCAGTCAAACTAGCTGAACATAAAAACCTAGCAAAATGTAGATTAGTTTGCCCAAATAAGATAAGAAATCTAGAGAATAGTTCAGCTATACCACTCACTACATGCAATTACACACAACTATACATTAGGATGATGGGATAAGATGACAGTTTTAAAATCTAGTGTCACAGGGTGGAGAGAGAGATTGATAACAGAAGCTTCGTTTATCGGATCAACTCGAAATACATGTAATAGGAATGACTCAACACCTGTCCCAGATATAATATGGAAAATTCTACTACCCCTACGACAAATATGAGAAGACAAAGGAAACCATAAAACTCAAGTTTCAAAGTCGTGTGATTACAATTGATATGATTACGAACGGTAATAAATTTAGTTCGAAACGTCATCCAGTAAATAATACTGTTTCACTGTGTGATACGTCTAATAAACAAACTAATTTGGCTTGTTCATGTGAATGTCAATTGCCTGTGTTGTTTGTGAAAGTTAACCTCGCAGAGCGTGTGAATGGTTGGGTGAAATACAATAAATAACTTTAAAAGCTTCATTAGCATCCACTTAATCTCCTGTATCGACAAATCGAGCCAGTTTTGAACTACTTAACACTTTCCTTAATCCTCAGTAGCGTTCAGAAATTCGACGCTATATTCGTGTAATTGTACGGCCAATGTAACGAGCTCCACAGGAGCAGTCAAACTGGAAATCTTATACACAAACGGTCAAACTTCGGGTCAAGGAAACAATCAGTACTAATACAAGTATTCCGCAGAGGGTGTGATGAAACACAAAAACAACCAATCACGTTCAAGGTCACCAGGAGAGACGACTTATAAACTCGTGGCGAAATCTAAAAGCTATCTTCAGCAAATTGAAGTATGCGCTGAAGATGTTGTCTAGTTGGGCAATGAAAGCTTCGTAAATAAACCATCCAGCTCAGAGGTCACAACTACATCAAAATCATCCACCTGAGCTACAATTCTTCTCTTCTCTATTATGTCTGAATAAGCAGCATAAATTAGCTGCGTTAAAAATCCTTTTGAAGGCCTTCCTCAGGAGTTGTGGTACAATTTCACTGACAACATCTGTGAGTAACAGTCTTAGGGATACTGATATTTTCTGGACTGCAGGCAACCTGAACTGTGTATTTGTTGTATAGCTTGATCTGATGGAAGTCGGGGGGTGGGGTGGGGAATATTCTGTTTCTAATCAACCATTCTGCAGAAAAAAAACTTACATCGATTATAATTCACAATTGTATTTACTAATTTAGCTTTCTTGTCTAAAATTGTAGTATGCCTTCCGTTAACATCACTCACATGATTATTGGTTATCATCACAAATGATTCTACGAAAGTAACGGTAGTCAAATACCCTGTGCGTCTTTTGCTGATTTTTTGAACAGTCATAGAGTAGGATAAAACATTCTGTGTCAGAGTACAGTAAAAGTCATAGAGGCAGTCATCATTGAAAATGATGTAACTTTGGATATTTGTAAATCGGTGAAGTCTCCTTAAGCACTTCAAATAGGGTATTAAATTAGGCTAACCTCCATAAAATCAATATGGACATAGGGGAAAAAGATCTTTGATAGTGTCAAGTTTTCACTCAAAATGGTTACATGTTATAAGAGTTTAACATTATCAAACTTGTGAAATCTACAGTTTTCAGATAAGATATCAAACTGTTCTTTGTTACTGCCCGTATAAGGTTCTACTTACCTACTTCTTCAGCCATCTGGCTATCTTATTATTGTGGCACAAATTCATATAACACCATTAGATGTTGGGTTAGAATTCTCACCTAGTGTTATTTATGTTTTACTTTTTTGTGTAAGATGTTTATTTTTCTTTTCTTTTTTCTGTTCTTTTTCTTTACCCAACCAACAGTACGCAGCATCCTGATTCTAAAATCTATCCTTTTGATCCATCGGATCATAAGTTGAGTTCTTCAAAAGTTCGATTCAATCAACTCGGAGATTTATTGAAACCTGTCAGCAGCAACAACAATCATCAGATTACTTCTCCTTTTAGTCCATACATGATTGGATTAACAGGACCAGCTGGATCTGGAAAATCATCATTAGCTAAACGACTTGCTAAATTAAGTGAACAGATTCATATAATCGATTGTGATCGTCTTGGTCATGAGGCATATGTGTAAGTGATTACAAGACCCTTTTGCTTTGCGGGTATCTGTTTTTTCTTCATAGATTACTTTATGGATTATAACAGAGGCTGATCACAGACCGTCTTCAGTTTATAGAACCATTGAAAAGCAGGAAGAAGTAGATAGCTGTTTCATCCTCTCTTAGGACTCTTCAGTAGTACGCATTCATGACTCTATCAGAGACTAAACCTGGGACTTTCAGGCTAAATGATGAGCTTGTATACTGTTGGGCTACTGGAACAGAAAACAACGGTCGGCCCATGAGTCTCGACTTCTGCCAATTTGCGGTATATAAGCGTGACCTCCAGGCAATGTCATTGACGACGATGACTGGATGGACCCTACTGGGCATGGCTTCCCACGCGGACTCCAGGCAACTTCATCCTACAACCAGTCACTAGCAAGTATCAGAAGGTTCTCGGCTGGAACCCTCGCAGCGGGTGCGTTCTGACGATGAGTCCCACACTAGGACGAAATAACTGTCCAGTACTCCCCTACTAGTTTCCAATGTTGCTCCAGCGTATATCAGTCCATGATCAAAACTTGAAACAAATCAAATCCCTACAAACAGACTCTTGAAAATCAGTGACCTACTTACTATGATAAAGTCAACTCAAACTTGATCATTTGATCTTATGTACTTTTGCTGCTTAGTTTTGTTTCTCTACTCCCTTAACTTATCAAAACACTTTGTTCTCACATTTTGTCTTATTGTATTTATGTATTTTATGCCATTAGTCATATCTTGAACTAGTGTTATTTTAACCTCATTTACTGGACAGTGAACCATAATCATGTCAGAATAAAGTATTTATGATCATGTGAGTATGGAGTGTCGATAACTTTACCGTAAATGGTACACAATTACTTCTCTTCTCCATATCTCAAGCTATTCGAATCAATACGGAAAAGTTTAATCCGAGCATCTCAAAAAAGTACATTCAATTTTTATGTCCACTTTGACCTATACTAAGGTCATCATTAGACTTAATGATCCATAGCTTTATGTCTTATTGTATCTCTTTACATATTAACTATTTGCTGACTAGCAAAAGGTATTTTCGTGCCTAGTATAGCAAACGTCCCAACGGACATTCCACATGCGTGAGAAAGTCAATGAAACACCTTTTAAATATGAATAAGGCATTTAGAAGACAAATTTCGCGAGATGATATCTTCATTTCGTAGTGTCTTTACAACCGCTTTACAACTAACATGGTTAACAACAATAAAATAAGGATCATGACAATTACTCCGTTAAATAAAAAAACAAAAGTACATACTAATGACCAATCATATTTAAATAGGTCAAGCAGTCCATGGTAGGCGAAAACTGAAGTCTATTGTTTTTTTACACATAGTGTAGGATATATGTGATTAATCCAAAGTGCTTCCATCACCTTCAATAACCAACCTTAAATTAGAGTTATGTGAAATAATTGTGAAACAGTCATTAATATTGATTTTATGACCTGACATCAACAAGTATTTTGAAATGGATTTCTATTCAGATTAATCGCAGTGGGATTTTCGATATGATTTAATAACCATTTTGGAACATGTTCTTTTCGACGACATTGGAACATTCTATTGGTTCTACCTACATAGGTGTCACCGTTACTGCAGGTGAACTTGTAGATACAGTTTGAAGTAGAGTCCACAGAATTTCGTCCTTTAATCGTAGGTACAGGGATCGAAAATGTTCGGCAAGTGAGAAAAAGAGATGCGGCGTAGAATGTGCATTTGATAGCTGACCGAAGTCTTTGAGCTAGCTGTCAACTGCATAATCTGGTCACCCTTGAATGGTAGGTTAATAAAGATAGCTTTCTTTGGTACAGAAGCTGTCTTTTCGAGATGTGGTCTTTCTTTACTATGACAAGTGATAAAGTGATTGGTCATTAGTATGTACTTTTGTTTTTTTATTTAACGGAGTAATTGTCATGATCCTTATTTTATTATTGTTAACCATGTTAGTTGTAAAGCGGTTGTAAAGACACTACGAAATGAAGATATCATCTCGCGAAATTTGTCTTATTAGTGCCTTATTTACCTTTAAAATAACCAAATATTGTAAAATCTGGTATGATTACAGCACAATAGAAAATCACACATTTTAGGTATGATTACAGATTGATGTCAGTTAGAGAACCATTGAAAACCAGTAGGAAGTAGTGGACAGATGTTTAGTCCTAGTTTGGGACTCTTCAATGATACGCATCCACCGCCAGGTTTCGAACCTAGGACCTTCTGGTTACAAGGCGAGCTCGTAGACTGTTCAGTCCCTGAGACCCGATCCAACGGCTCATAAATCCCAACCTCTGTCACATAAGGCTAACTATCTGAGGAAATTCAAAGCGTCACTAATCGCCTCTGTTCTCTCTATTCAATTAGGTGGAAACGAAAGGCAGGTAAATTTGTTTTAGTGATAACTTATGTACTCACTCACTCTATTATTGCTAATCCCTTTCATCGAAGTGACAAATACACTGTCTTTTAAAATATTTCATTATTGTTAAGATTGCAGTAGAAGTCACTAAGGGAAGAATCACTATTGTGGATAAACTTTTATTTTGATAAAGTCACACACAGTGTTATACAGTAATATTTGCTGATCACCACGTTTCGAGCACAATTTATTAGCTCTCATAATCATATCAAGATACTCCTCACACAACGTTCTTGCTTCATTCTGTACACATGAGCAAAAATTGATTAGGCATTTGAATAAAATCAATATTACAAGATGAAGTACATTCGGAAATAATATTAGTGTTATCAATAAAATACAATAAGATGGGGAATAAGATGTTTTTATCTTAAATTAAATAACTAACTTGTAAGAATGTTATAATGTGAATTGAAATACATTTTAACAATATTTATTATCCTCTGATTTGACTGGTAATAATATAAAGTGAGAGCTGGCTGCAAGCCAAAATTACAGACAACAGTTTACGTCCCGAATCGTGGTCATGAAAAAAACAAACAATAACAAAGCTCAGCCTTGGTTAATTCACCAACCAATCACGACAGACTTAACGTGTGCGAATACGATTCGCAGATAGATGGCTTAACTTTCTAAGAAACGGTCACAAGCAGTACATAATAACCTTCAGCAAGAGAACAACCAATCAGAAGACGTTTCTTCTCTGCTAACAATAATAATAATGTACATAAAAATCTATAAATATCTGTTGATTTTCTCAATAAACGATCTGTTACTTGACCCTTGTCTTCTGTCGTTACAATAATATCTTACATATCTTTGGGTATTCGCGATGAGTCACTTTTATTACATGTATTGGGTGTACACTCGATGAACCAGGTAGAATTCGGTAATCAATTTCTCTCTCCGTCTATCTATATTACTTTTTAGAATTTCGACTCTATTCCACCTTATTGTGTGTTGATGTATGCAGTGCTATAGCTGAGTTTTTTTTTCTAAATTACTTATCTTCTCGAGGCTAATCATTCTACTGAATCCTGATTCATCGAGTCTACACCCAACACATGCAACAAAAATGACTCAAAGCAAATACTAGAGATATGGAAGATATTATTACCACCAGTTAAATCAGAGGATAATAAAGAATGTTAAAATGTATTTAATTCACATTCTAACAATTTATTTATTTTACTGAAACAACATATTTCCCATTATATTGTATTTTATTGATAACACATATTTGATGATATTAGATGATTGGAGGCAATCGGCAGGAAGCCTTGGACCTAGGTTTCGTGCTAGTTGGCACTCATCAGCACCCATTACAGTCCTACAGAGGGTCAATCGCGAGCCCGAATCGCTCAGTGGTAACGTCTCTGACTGCAACACTGGGTGACGCGGGTTCGAATCTCAGAAAAGACATGAGTTCCTTCAGGGTTGCAGATACGCCTTGCTGATGAGTGCCAACTAGCACGAAACCTAGGTCCAAGGCTTCCTGCCGATTACCTCCAACTATCCAATGTCATCAAATCAATGTGCACCGTGATGGCGAGCTACCTAGCATGGCGGCCACATTGCAAAACCTGACTGATAGAATTCAGTTTGCACCAAAGAAAGGACTAGACACGTCACACTAGTTACTAGTGTCCAATCGAAACACTTATATTATTTCCGAATGTACTCTGTCTTATATTTATTTTGTTCAAATATCTAATCAATTATTACTCATGTATATAAATGAAGTAAGAAAGTTGTGTGAGGAGCATCTTGATATGATTATGGACAGTAATAAATTGTACTCGAAATGTGGTGATCAGTAAATATTACTGCATAACAACACTGTGTGACTTTATCAAAATAAAACTTTATCCATAATGGAATTATACTCTACTAACACAGTGCCCAAGTTTTATTCTTATAGAAGAATCACTAATTAGGCGTTGTTATTTTGGCTAGATGCTTCTTCTTCATTCTCTTCCCCCCTCCTCTGTCTCTCTATTAAAATGAGCAAATATGACCTTAGTTTTTAGGATAAATTTTGTAATTTACTTGTCTTATTTACTGAAGACAATAGTTGCGTAGTATTTCATTATATTATAAACTTTTCTTTGTGTTACAAAGTACTTTATTGAAACAATTTTATAACTTAATAATACTATTTGTTCACCCCCTTCATTCATTAATTTACACAATTCTTACAGCTAAATAGAAGTACATAAGTTTACATATATAGTGATTCTATCCATGATATTCGTACTTTTACTTTACCTTACTTAAGATTAGATTTCTATTATGAAAGTCTTGTTCCCCTGGTGTCGATGCAGTATTACCGGTCATCTTTAGCAATATTCGGCTGGGGAGATGGATGCTTCAACAACACATTACCTTTTCACTCCGTTCTCCTTCAGTCCTTTTTAGCTGACTCCACGATAAATCACAAGTTTTTCGCTTCTTCCTCACACGATAGCCTTCATATCACTCTCCTATTTTTAGGTTCTACTCGACAGCCTGATGTGCTATATCGTCACTCAACAGTCTTCTCAA